CCCCCGAAAGGAGTCACGACGGAACCATCATCCCGTACGAGCACGCCGAGGCGCCACTGAGTCGGCCTGTCCTACACATGCTCGTACGCGGCGACGATAACCCGACCCGCGCTATCCCGCCGACGATGATACCATGACGCAATCTTGGAACTCGGACTCGTCCTACGATCCGGACTATTCCACCCCTATAATAAACGAGCTCATAAGGACACGATATCCCTATCACACGGAGAATCGGTTATTTCCACGGGAATTCCACGTGGCGGCCCCCGACGGCCTAACTTTTCAGGACCACCCCCACCACGGAGGGATTTCCCCGTAACCCGTCGCCCACAGTGCCCCGGCCCCACCAGACCGTGAGTCCCTGATGCACGCACCCCTGACTCGCCTAATTGCATTCATACCCTTAAGACTCCCCCACTTTCCCCAAAAATCCTTGGCACACCCTTTTTCGCACTTCCAGGCCCACATCCCACTCCGATCAGGAAGTCGCACTGGGCGTGAGGTTTGGGTGTCACAGGGCACCTGCAACTGGAATCTGGACTTCAAGGAAGTTGAGGAATGACTTTAGGGATCCCCTCAAGTGAGGCGAATTTGAGGGTGGCAGCCATATCTGCACCTACGGACTGCAAGATGCTACCTTGATCTTCAACATCGACGGTGGATCCGGCTTTGTACTTTGGGGTAGAGGTTGACCCTCCTAGATGATAGGACACTAGTGTAGAGGGTGCTAATTGGGTCAGGAGGACTATGTGAGAGGGAGGTGATTTCTTTTCATCTCAAGAGCCCGGCCACTTAGGTAAGTGTCGTGCCACCAGGGTGCCCATGTGYGCATGCATGGAATTGACTGWCYGYYGGGGATCTAYGGGTTCTTCTTCCATCCTCCATAGTCTTGATCATGTGTGAAGTGTGTGGACTGCTTACTCACCTGATGAATGAATGGCTGAAGTATCTTGCATGCAATGATATATCTTTCTACAGTGCTTTGTCTATTTTGTTTTGAACGGTTGTAGTCTGTAGGTTCTTTCTGGGGCTAAATTTCGCTTTTCAATTTGGTAGAGACAGACACTTGACCTCGGTGAAACTCTTGTTGGTTGGGACCCGGTCCTGACTCCACTGAGACCATCTGGGACTCAGCGGGACTGGGCCCAAACAAGAAGGGCCCCTCAGGCCAAATCTGTTGACGTCAGTCATCTTGCTCTATCTGATTGGGACTCAGGGTTCAATGCTTTTGGACCAGGACACTCACTGCGGAGCGGGTCTCCGCTGAGACGTTCTATCATACTTTATTGCACGATCCGCCGCCTGACTCGCACCTTATACACCACTCAAATCTTTCTTGTATTATGTTGCACACTTTGATTCTGGTTTGTTGTATCTCTACGGAGCTGAGTCCGGCTAGGCTTGAGAGGACCTCATACGTCGCCGAACCAGACTATGTGGCTGAATCAGATCTCTCTGATTTTATTTTTTTATTGATTGAATGTTAACTACTCTCCAGTCCAAATGAATTGCCGCTCCGACTAGGAGTTCTACCTCTTCTTCTGACTGTCTTACTGTTTCTTTCACTTGGTTCGTTAATGCCTGCGTCTACACGATCGCTAGCCACAGAGAGAGAGAGAGAGAAGAGAGAAACTATTGAGTGTTGCTCTTGAGGGAGTGAGGAGAGGGAAGAGGAGTATCCGGCGAAAAAGGAACTACGGACCCCTCTTGAAAGTTTTACTGACACCCTCGTCCTCCATCATGACAACTGCAGCCGAATGGAAACTGCAGTTGGATGCTGCCCCTGAGGCAGAAAAACCGCAGTATCAGTTCTTCTACGATAAGACTTTGAAGAAGGAGGAGGAAGAGAAAGAGAGAGATAGAAGGGATAAGGTGCAGGCTCGTGAGGCCATCATTAGCAACATATCCGCTTTGACAAATGAGGAGGTAGAAGAGAAAACGGTTCCCCTCCTCAGAGCCTTAGCAGAAGTCCGGATTGCTGAGGACCATACTGGCCAGCTCGCACAGGTGTTTAAACAACTCAAGGAGTTGCACGAAGACATGGCCAAAATGGCGCAGCAGCACCGAGACCAGCTGCAACAGTTTGCTAGTTTGCAGCAGACTCAAACTGTCTCTCCCCTCACCTATCCTGCTTCCAATGCTGCGTGTCAGTCCGTTCTAGCCCCTCTAACTGTGTCTTCTTCTACTTCTTCTTCATCTTTGAGTGTGACAAATAGCCAACCCGGATCTGCTACAGGTCCAGACCCTGCTGTTGCTGCTGCTGTTGTTGTTGCAGCGGCAAGTGGTAGTGCAGGACAATCTCGAACTGTTGCAGTCCCGAGTTTGGACCCGGCAGTGGCTGGGCCCAGTGGCAGCTTTGCTTATATCGACAGGAAGGCGGCGCATATTCCGTCTAAGTATGACGGAAAAGATGACGTCGAGTCTTGGATCAGCTCTATGCGATCCTACTTTGATGTGTTGGGGACACTCCCGGCAACGCAGTCGCCTATCCTAGGGACCAATGTGGAGCCCGTCGTAAAGGGTTTCTTGGAAACCCAAGCTGTCCAATCAGGCTATAAGAGAATAGACCTGAACAAATGGCTGAAGGCTACGCCTGTCACCACACTCGAGGAACTCTTAATCAAACAATATGCTGATCCGCATGCTGCAGCCAAAGCTAGACTCAAACTGGACAAGCTTACGCTCAGCAGGTGGACTGGCACCATGCATAGCCTGCAACAGTATGTTAGTAAATTGTTTGCTACTCCAGATCTGGAAATGACTGCGCAGTCTTGCTTGGATGTAATAAAAGGCACGGTCCCCTCTACTATTAAAGATCGCCTGGGGCTCGGACTCACCGCATACACTGATTGGTTTACCCTTATGAGGGATCTGGTCAAGTTGGAGGCACAAGACCTCCCGGGTGGATCGGGTAGCAAGAGGACTACCAGCCGAAAACGGTTTCCTGGCAGCAACCGTTTTTCTGCGCACGATCTGCTAGAGGATGACGAAGAGAACTTCGCAGACCATCCTTCCCTTGATGACGATCAAGAGCAAGGTTGCGAGGCCTCTTGCTCTTCGTCAGCCCATGAGTTCGAATGTGTGAATGATGAAGAATCCATGAATGTCTTCAAGAAGACTGCCTACAAAAGTAAGGGACCGAGGACTATGGTAAAGAACAATTCTAACACTATCCTTCTTCCCAAAGGAGCTAAGATTCCACCCAAGCCGGAAGATCCTGCCACAAAACCATGGGTAGATCTCCGGATCAGTGAAAGTGAGTGGAAGTCTAGAGTAAAGAAGGGAGTTTGTCTGCATTGCACCAAACCGGGACATTCAGTCCAGCATTGCTTTAGATTGCATCAGGGAAACCAACAGCGGGGGTAGAGATATCTTCAGCACACTCTACTAAAGGAGAGACGGTACAAGTAAGTGCAGGTCCTTCATTGGATCCTGATTCTACTCCACAAACCTCTCCTAAAACCCCATCTGATGCTGATTCCAAGGCCGAGAAATTGCACATTTCTACAAGGAGCCTTGGGTGGAGTCGGAAGAAATTGACTTTCATTCTCTGTTGACGCATTGGGCTCACATGAAGCAAGAACGGGCGCAAGGGAGAACGAAGTTGATCTTCTTCAAACTTCACATTAATGGTCGTTACATCCGTGCATTGGCTGACTGTGGCGCAACAGCCAAATAGTTTTCACCGCACGACATTCGTAAGGCACGCTTGGGTATGAAGCAAGTGACATTGCAGAATCATTGTCGGACCCAAGTAGGCAACCAAGAGGTTGTCACCTCTACACATGCAGTCAAAGGTGTGCGCATTACCTTTGACGCCGATCGCACGATCACGCATGAAATGAACTTCTATGTCCTGGATCAGTGCCCCTTCGACGCGGTTATTGGCTGGTTGCAAGCCCAATGTGTAAGAACCACGTGGACTCACAGTTCATGGTCCAAGATGCTATGGGGATCGAGCGTCCAGTCCTCTTGGACGAGCCGCACGAATCCCAAGTAACCTTTTTGAATGCTATGCAATTCTGCAAAAAGTGGCGCAGGCGCAAGAGTGATGAGCAGATGTATATAGCCTTTCTTACGCCTGCTCACGTGCCTTCTATTTTTGCTGTACATAATGATTCTACTTCGCATGTTGTTTCTACTTCTGAGACAACTACTTCGACTTCTACTCAATCGGCTTCTAATCCTGTTGTTTTCGCTGCACCGTTCCTATCTGATATGCTTGCTCCCGAATGTGATGATCCACCTCCGAAAGTCCCATCGAAAATCCGTAACCTTCTCAACCGGTTTCCTGAAGTCTTGGTCGAACCGCATGAGGTTCCCGTGCGTCCGGTCTGACACAAGATCGAGTTGATCGAAGGAAGCACTCCCCCAAAGGGCTGCGTCTATCGAATGGGCTCAGGCGAATTGGAGGAGTTGCGACGGCAGATTGACGAGATGATTGGTAAGGGATGGATTAAACCTAGTGAGTCTGAATTTGGTGCACCAGTTTTGTTTGTTCCAAAGAAAGGAGGCAAATTACGGATGTGTATTGACTACCGCGGACTGAATCGAATCACAAGAAGGAATGTCTATCCTTTGCCACGAATTGATGATCTACTTGACGCTGCAGGTGGGTGCAAAGCAGTGCCTGCAATCAGGTGGCCGTGGCTGCAACCCGCCCGGCCCAGCTGCAGCCGACAGGCCCGGTTCATGGGCAGTTTTGAAACAAGCATGCCCAGCTGGGGTTCAGCCAGGTGGTGGCATAGGCTGGCTGCGGGCCACAGTTGGCTGAAAAATTAGTCGGGTTAGCCGTACAGGCCTCATGCCAAAAATATATATATATATATATAATACGAAATATATGTATGAGTTTAGGGCTGCAGGTACATAGGGCCATAGGCCCATATTTCCCTCCCTCCCGCCTGTTGGCCCTGCACACGCAAGGCTGAAGGGAAAATATATGAGGCCATGAGCACAAATTACTCAAACTAAATAATATGAATGTATCTTAGAGCAAATGAAGGCTTTCTGCATTCATTTCTTGAAGACCTGCAGAAGGACCGCACCAAGATGCTGGAGCCTGTCACTTTTATTCCGTGGCGTCGCGAAATGCCCTTGGGGCGGCGGGCATCTACGTGGAGAAATTTCGAGTTTCTCACTTCGATTTCCGTGAGGCGGGAACGGCCTTGGGGCAACGGTTAGAAGAGCTTCGAGGTGGGCTGGCAGTAGCAAACTGGCGCTCCACACCGTTGAGCGCAGGCGGGGGTTGGGGGGGGGGGGGGGGGGGGGGGGGGGGGGGGGGGGGGGGGGGGGGGGGGGGGGGGGGGGGGGGGGGGGGGGGGGGGAGAGGGGGAGAGAGAGAGAGAAAGAGAGAGAGAGAGAGAGAGAGAGAGAGAGAGAGGAGGTCGCTACACACTGCTGCAGTGCTGCTCGCACGCAGGGCTTGCACACACAGAGAGAGAGAGAGAGAGAGAGAGAGAGAGAGAGAGAGAGAGAGAGAGGAGGCTGCTCCACTGCTGCACACACGCAGGGGTTGGAGAAAGAGTGTGCGTGCATGAGAGAGAGAGAGAGAGAGAGACGGGAGAGCACGACGGGAAGAAAATCTCAGCAGCACGACAGGGACGGAACAACGGGAGGCTGGAGCACAACGGGAAGAGAACAAAGAGACAACATGCAGTTGTTTGGAGGTAATACCAGCGAGAACCCTTCTTTTTTTCTTTGTGATTACTCGCTTGTATCTTTCCACACATCTCTCACGGATGCATCTTTCCACACATCTTTCACGGATGTATCTTTCCACATTCTAGCGGAATGTACGTTGAGGCACGGTGGATAGATACACACGTGGCTAAACAAGCGCAAAAGAAAGGATGGGGGAGCCTGAAAAAAGAAAAAGATTGTCAATAACTTTGGGGAATGTATCTTTCCACGTTCTAGCAGAAGAAACATTAGACCTGTATGCTGCTTCTTCCGCTAGAACGTGGAAAGATACATTCCCGAAAGTCATTGACAACTTTTTTTTTTTTTTTAAACAACAAAAGAAAATGCGAGCCTGCCCGCTTTCTTGTAGTAGTAGGTGATCTCGCTCATCACAAAAGAATGACGAATTCACCGACGAGGAGATAGAATGATGCAGCAATCTGAGTGCACCATATAATAGAGGACAAGGAAGACGATTAAGGAAAGCAAGACAAAAGCGACTTCCATC